CATTATAAAAGTAACCCCAAATCAAAAAACTGAAGTTTGGTCACAAAACTAAAAAAAATAGTACAAATGCTTTAATTTACTTTAAATATATTACTGACTAACTGACTCTTGGATCCTCAGTACTTGTTTAAAAAATATAAAATTTGAAAAACATTCATTGCTGTAAATATTATTTAGAATATACTTTAAAAAACTATCAATGTTACCCCGTTTTACGGTACTCGCTTTACAACCGCACTTATGAGATTAAGCAAATGTTGTTGAATAACCCATCCGACCAACTCGAGAGATGGGAAACTCCGATGTTATTTTAGTCTTTATCTTCACTTTCATTGATATAAGTGAGCAACGGAAATCACTAACTACGCCTATTAAATGGAGCAGATGTTTTTGAATACATCTGAACGTACCAGGTAAGGCTTCAATTACCTCCATTTATATGAGTGAGGGGGCGGAGGTATAGTTAACCCCCCCTCTTTATCTCTTAATATTCCTATGAAATTGAAAAATTGTTTTTTAATAATTCATCTGAACACGCCAAATCGATAAGATAAGAAACTCCGAAGTTATTTCAGTTTGAAACTTTACTTCTATTGATATGAGTGACCCCCTACCCATCCCCCCTCCGACTACGTATATGAGATAGATCTATTGATTTTGAATATTTCATCTGAACATACCAAAACGATAAAATAATTAACTTCGAATTTGGAGTCTAACTTCATTGGTACACCGGCAGTGTTGGCAGATAAAGGGGTTTTTGGCATTAAATTCGAACCATTGATCTTTGAACAGCTATAACTTTTTTTTTGGGCATTCTAGTACAATACATTTTTAAGCACAGTTGTTAGGCACTTTCTGGGCTATACTTTAACGTATTTAGATGCGTGGTTTGTGGTCCCTATAGTAATATAAATGTCCAAAAGTAGGTTTTCCCATACAAATGTCATTAGTTTGCCGTAAAAATCTTCGATTGGGCGACACTGAGGCAGATTTGTCGGGTTGTGGTTTTTGGGTACAAATGGGATCGAATGGGTATTCAGGAACGATTGTGTTTTTTGGCGTAATGCGATGACGCTTTATCCGGCCAAAACACGTATTGTCCATCAGCATGATGTTTTTGTAGAAACGGGATCAAAATTTTCTTCAAACATTCGTTCTGGTACACATATTGATTGATTGCCAAACCAGAGGGCTTGAACCATGACTTAGAAATGCCTTTCTCGTCCTTTTGCGTCCATAATTTTGGCTGATCTTCCACTACCTTGCTTGCGAGTAGTTGTTGGGGATCTTAGGATATGGTAAACTGTCGAAGCAGCAACATTTTCGCTTTTAAAATGTTGTACCGTATACTTTTTGCCGAGATTTCTGTGCAGTTCGTAGAACTGTACAACGCGCTCGCGAAATACTTCTTGTTTCGGCGGCATTTTGAGCAAAACTGAGCAAGCATAAACAAAACAGAAAATCTAGACTAACATTTGAAAAGGGCGTAATTCCAAAAAGATCATATCGAGAAAATCGCTTCTGAATTTTGTTGACCTAAAAATTAATCCTATTTCACGACTTTCCATTTTCTGGTTGATTTTATAAGCTTGACATATAGTTAATAGTGTAATCTATCATCATGCATCACTAAAAACTCAAAAAAAGTTTTCTTTGCCGTGAAATTGAGAAGAAAACATCATACGCCCTGATAATTTCATACATGTTGTTACCCCCCAGATCTTCCACCCTTTGAACTGCCAACACTGGTGATACGCCGTGGAAGTACACCCTCGGGATTTTTTGTTTGTTGTTCCGCCTTGGTTCTTCGTTCGCAAATGTTGTGGGAGTGGAATTACGCCCGGAGATTTTTTGGTCTTCTTTTTGTTCGTTGTTTACACGTGAACTACCAATCGGATGCATTTCAAATGAATCGGTCGTGACTAGATACTAGAGAATCAAAACATTTGGCATATTAAAACGATATAATTCGTAGTTCTGGTGCAAGACGTAAGAACCAGATTCAGCATAGAAATGAAAGTTGGAAATACGCCATGTAAGAAGAAACGTTTTTGATGATTTGAAGTGATATTTTCTTCTACTTTTTCGTGTTTATCGAGTAGTTTGTTAACTATTCTCTCTATATGTGGCAAAATATGGTTTGTTTACATTTTGGCTCTTCCGCCCCTTTCAAATGTTAGTCTAGAAATACTAGCAGAAAGAGGAGAGAGAAAGCTAATACATACACACTCTTATTTCTCTCTGAGCTCGTTTGTTGTTGAGCATAGAGGCCTCGAAAAAATTCCAAAATTTTAGTTGCCACCCGTTAGATGCGAAATTCAGCTCAATCAAATGTACTTTCGAACTTTTCAGTCTCGGAGCACTTAATTTTACATGACATGTTAGTTTACGTCTCATCCTTTATCTCAAAGATGGATTCCGTCACGTGTAAGATTAGATATTTCTAAGTGTGCAGTTGAATTTCAGTTGAAAGCAACGCAAGACAGTCGCTCGTTCCTTTGCCTCTCCGAAATCCAAATTGCGTATCTGAAAGTAAACCATTCGACTCGACCCATTTGTCTAGACGAAAAAGAATCATTTTCTCCAACAATTTCCGAATACACGACAGCATCGCGATGGGTACGGTACGAGTTATAATCCGACGCGGGTTTACCGGGTTTTCGAATGGCGATAACTCTTACTTGTCTCCAGTCATCCGGAACAATGTTGTGCTCCAGAAATGGACTGAATAAGTTGAACAAGCGTCTCTTCGCGACGTCTGGTAGATTTTTTAGCAAATTGAACATGATTCTATCCTTTCCTGGAGCTGAGTTGTTACATGAGAGGAGCGGAAGTGAGAGCTCCACCATTGAAAACGGGGAATCTTTTTCGTTATTATGCGGCGGACGATCACGAACGTTGGTTGAAATCGACACTGCATCCGGGCAAAATTTCCGTGCGAAGCTGAACGGGTTAGTGTGAATAACTGACCATAGCCGGAAAGGAATATGCCCGATATCGCCTTACGTCTTACTTCCACGGTGGTCGGTGATTGAGAGTGACGAGAATGCAGTGCCCAGTTCGTTGTCCTCACACAGTTAGGATCAAGCAAAATGACTTTAGATAAATACCATTCAGTCTGCAAGCTTTCTTCATAAAGGCCATTTTAAAACCTTTAGAATTTATTAGGGTTTTCTTGAAACAAGCAAAACAACTTTTCACAAATGGCCCATGAAAATCAACTTTTATGCCACCATATTAAAATTATTTTGTTTGATTTTTATAATCTGCAATTTTCAATCTATATATCCTTGGATGTAACTTTTGTTTGGTCAGCAATGAGCAAATATTCAAAATGCGAAAATCATAAAAAAATATCTCGGCTAAGCTTTATGATTGAACTAAATAAATAAAATTTTCTTCAATGTCAAATAATTAGTAAAATAAAAGTTTTCGAAGAGGGATCTCATTTTTTCAGATGTTTCCACGTACATTTAATGTAAGATTTAATCTGGCACCTAGAACTAAGCCTCTTTATGAGAAATATTTTATTAAACATTAAAAAGTCTATCAGTTTTTATATTAATTATTGTGATAAGATCGGTGATATTTATGATACCTTTTCTATTTTGATTGATGCTTTTCTAGCGTATTTAGTAAGGCTAGGGAAAAACGGTTTTATTTGCTGCCAAATACCTTTTATTGTAGCTTAAATACGGCTTTCAAATGGTTTTCAATGCGTTCGTCATACTACATATTTGCAGTGAATCAATCTTGAAGAGCTTCGATAATACATCCTTCAGAACCTTCTCCAGGGTTGGCCAACTAGACAGATTCTAGTTTTAATGAGGTTTTGGTAGATGTAATAAAGGCACAGCAGTCTGGACCAGGGTTTTATGTTTGTTGTTTTAAAGCACCTTTGTAGTTTTTAATAAAAATGAAAATATTATTTAACGGCGCCGGTGGTGTAGTGGTAAGCGTGATTACCTCTCACCCCAGCAGGCCTGGGTTCAATCCCAGTCGGCGCCGCCGGGATGTTCTGAGGCATAACATCTCTTATCACGTCTTCCTTCGGATGGGAAGTAAAGCCGTTGGTCCCCGGTTCATGAGTTGATGGGTCGATAGGTAGGGTCCAGGTGTGGGAGCTGCCTTCCTGGCACGTCGGTAGCATTGGTGCTCAGCACGGAAAACAAGATCGACGAAAAAAACAAACCAAAGAAAAAAAAAAAAAAAAAAAAATTATTTGGGTATACAGATATCTATATCTATTTGGGTATACAGATGAATCTGCATATGTGACATCGCTGTCCAAATTCCGGTTTGCTCCGCCGTGTTCCTCTGCTGCGCTCGATTTCTCCATTATTCATTGTGGCTCCGCTCGTTTCGTCTGCATCAACTTCTTGTCTTATATTCTCCATCTTTCTTCGTTTGTTTACTTCCCTGGACATAGATTGTGTTTGCTACTTTTGCCATCTTTGTTGAAAATATGTCTACAGCTAACTGCGAGAATTGACCCCCATAACGAGTAATGTATCAATCTTTCAAACTAAACCATTGCGTTTGCCTACACGCTATCAGACTGCCAACCCTACATTCTTCTGGATCTGGACATCGATGAACTCATACCACCATTTATTAGTAGATCACACCGAACGAGTTCTTGAGCTCTTTCGATCAAGCACACACGATCAAGTCAGACAACCTCCAGCTCCAGCAACGCCAGAAGAGAACCTCACACGAACATGTAGAGTAAGGTGGGGTAATACGCACCCCAGCGTAATATGACCAACACAGTTTTTTCTCATACTATTCAAATCTAATTTATAACGCAGCTCTGGGTGAGAACACATTAAATTTGATTTGAAAAACACGCATTACCGCATGGCGCGTATAACCTCAGCTTACCCTAGATATGCCACTCTTCAGCAGATCTTCGTCCGCTAGAATAACCGAGGGAGGTATTTATCGACCGGGTTGCGTTGCGTTAAATAAGCCACCCGAGCAGCCCGTTCCACCGTTCAGTTAGCATCGAGCCTCGGTGGGCATCGGAATCCAAATCGTGATCACTCGTCTAGTTCACCTTTAGTGATTGTAGTTCGTTGAGCGGTGATTTGTGCGCGGGTGCGCGTTTTCAGTATTATTTGTTTTATGATCGAAGAAGAAGACTTAGTGCGAGACAGTCAGTGCAACATAGTTGTATAAACAACAAAAAAGTGATATTAAATAACCCGGAGAAGAGTTGCGGTGTTCAACAATCACGTAAGTGTCGTGTGAGTGTGGGGCCATGTTGACAGTTGAAATATAGATAGATGCTTGTGAAATGCTGTCACCTAGTTTTCTGCAATCGTTGCAATGCGTGACTCGAAAGCATTCAAGTGGTTGTTTTGAGCGAAACCCGAGAGGAAGCTTGCTAGCGGTGGGTTATGCATGTCGGATGTTTAGCAATAATTTCGACGAAGAACTGGTTTCTGATGGTAATCAAACGGGCTCAAGAATGAAGTGGTTTTCACGTTCGGCTACTTTTGTCTTGTTAGTGCAAAACTTTTGAAACAGCGATGGCGTCCGATGTGGTGTCCGGACAATTCATGGAAGTGAGAGAACAGCGTTTGTGAAAATCACAATTATCAGGTTGACATATACAGGATATACTGAACGTGTGGGAAGCGATACAAATGGTACCGGTTGCAGCAATTATGTCATTAACCAGTACTTGTACTGCAGTTTTCCGCGCGAGTTCAGTGGTGCATTGCGTCGTGTAATACGGAGATGGCAGAAGTGGTTGGATAAAAAAGCACTACCTATTGAAGCTGAAGGTTGGTTTGAGAGAGTGGTTCTTGCGGACATTAAATTCTCTTGAATTTCTCTTTGGAAATGTCATTTTAGAACATGATGAATTCATGAATTTAATTACAGTTGCAAATGCAATTAAATCGGGAATTATGTGCCGTGCTGAACAAGCAATGTGTGATTCCATTAAAACTGAATTCTCCGTACAGTAATGGATCTGAACAGTCATGTGACTACAGATTGAGTGTGCTGCAGAGAGGAAGAATAATTTATATCTCACGTCATTCAACGCTATAAACAGCAACAGTAGGAAAACAAGCTCACACGCGGCAGAGTCTAATCCTGGTCTAGCCGCTTGATGCGACCTTGTCCTCATACATTTTAACATTCAATGCTCCAGTGGCGGCGTCGTGTTGGAGCGGAAATTATAGGGGCATTCGTTGTATTTTTACAAATAACATATTAACTTATTTATTCGTTGTCAATAAAATGTAGGCCATTTTAATTTACAATAACACTTAACATCTATTTTAATTTTCAATCTCTGACTAACCTTGAAAAGAAACGTTTTTTAAGAGAATTTTCGTTCATTGTCAAATCAATTGTTTCATAATGTTCATTATAACAAGACATCATTCTATTTAAAGGCGCGTTCCTGACATAGTTTTTTTCTTTGGTTGTTAATATAAAACATATTTCTGTTTTTTAAGGAACGAGTGGGAGCATAAAAATTGAGATTTTCTTAAATCTCTGTGGCATTCACTCTTTGTGCTACAAGATCGTTTATAAAAACTATTATTGCAAACTGCCTTCGCTTTTCAAGTTCATCCAAATTGATCAACATTCATCGAGACTCATAAGATGGTAAGGGTAAACTCGTCCAGCCTAACTTTCTTAGAGCAAATAATAGAAACAGTTTTTGAACTGATTCAATGCGGTTTATATGAGTATCTTGATATGAAGCCCCGACTATACTACAGTACTCAAGGAGGAGCCTAACATATGCAACATATAATGTTTTGATTGTGTATGGATCATTGAAATGAAAGCTAAACCTTTTAATAAACCCTAGCATGTTGCTTGCCTTGTAGAAAATGTTATTATAATGTTCAAAAAGGTCGCATCAATCTGGCTGGCAGTGATGCCGGAATCAATGTTAACGTCAGTGGCGTTGCTAATTGTTTATATTTGCGAAAAGAAAGTTGATAAATTGAGTGCACATCGTGTTTCAAGCGATGGATATTGCTGTTTGTTTATGGTTGTTTTTATTGTGTTGAGCAAAAATGATCATTGGTCAACTCCGTCAAATACCACGCACAATTTTCCGAAGGGCATTCTTCAAAAACATTAAGAATAATGAGAAGCTCGATTGTCGTCCCGGATAAGGGCCAATGTCGCAAACGTAAACAATTAATTTTTTGGCGAATTTCTCGAGAATGAAAACTCACTCAAGTAAACCACCACGATGATTGTGTAGAGCGAAAGTCCTCCTATCCGATAGAATTGGTGACAGAAACCATTGTTTACGTTTTCGACATTGGTCCTCATGAACGCTGAGGGTCGATATCACGAAAATTTTATTTTGACAGATCGATGTCCCACTATGCCAGTTATACCACTGGGGCAGCACAAGTCAACTTTTAGTCAGCTATTTTGCATGAAGTTCCACATATGTTATGTGATTTTTATAACAGGGAGAATTTAAAACTACACAATACTGCTAGTTTAGACTAACAGCCTAAAATACCAGGAACACCAAGGTCGTAGTCACCCAATAATAAATTTAAGCTGTTTAAAATCCTATTAAGTCTGTATCAATCAGCTTTGATTCAGCATTCATACACTCTTAGAATTGATTACCGAGTTCGGTCATGTTTACCGAACATTCAACAGCTGAACTGTTCGATAAAAATAAGGCATTTGAATTCATTAGTTTTAAGGCTTCAAAACAAGGAAAAGTTCACCTCAATTGCTAGACTCCATTATTCAAACAAGGCTGACAGTAGTTTTAAATTAAAATTCAGTGAAACAGCTTTGGCAGTCCACATCGTGCTCTCTTTCCGTGCGGATCTATTTGCTTTTTGCTTAAGGAAGTGTTACTACTACCTTAAGCTACAACAAATTTAAACAGCACTTTTCAGTGCTCAAGCTGTTAAAATTTTCTACCTTGTTCAACTCTTATTCCTCTTAGATCCTTGTTTGGACCCTACCCGAGGTAATCCTTCTTGGATATCGATTTGGAAAATTCCTCTTCGATCCTTCAGATTCTTATAGTAATCTGCTTGGAAGTCGATTTGGATACAAATTTACTGCCGCCATGGCGCCTAAATGCAAAAGAAAGGGGCAAACTCTTGACCCCCCTTCTGATGAAATTAATTTGAGTAATCAATTTGATTTGCTCACGGATGATGAGAATGATCCATCATCCAAGAAAAATGGAACTTTTGAATTTCGTGAAAGTTAAGTTTTCACTACAAATTGGACGTCGGGATGAATGCCGTGTATTGGCTGAAACCTTGGACGGCTTTAAATGTCTTCTCAAGTATCTTACTGAGAAGAAGCACAATTTTTTTACTTACGACACCAAAACTGAACGTGTGTTCAAGGTTGTCATGAAAGGACTGCCCAGTGGTGAATCCCTGGATCAGATCAAAGATGAATTGGCAAAATTACTTGGAGTTGTGCCACTCCAAGTAATCATGAAAATGAAATCCCGTCCTGGCGATTCACGCAACGGGATTTCTAATGATTTTTATTTAGTTCACTTCAAGTCTAGTGAACTTAACAACCTTAAGGCCTTAGAAAAGCTAGTCTTATGCTCCATGTCCGAGTGAAGTGGGAACACTTCAGGAAGACTGGAGGAAATTTCCAAAACCTCACTCAGTGCCGTAAGTGCCAGGGATGGGGTCACGGAACTAAAAATTGCTACATGCCAGCTAAATGCATGAATTGTGGTGATTCCTCTCACGCAAAGAACGACTGTCCTGTGAAGGAAGGATTTAAATGTTAAAATTGTGGTGAAAACCACAAATCCAATTTTTGGGAATGTAAGACTCGCAAAGCGATCCTACAATCTCGTTCTAACCGACAGGTAGGAAACGCTCCACGTTTCCGACCAGGTACAAATTCCTCTGCTGTTAACAACGTTCAGCGAGGAACAAATTCTACATTCGTACCCGTAGGTACAAATATCACCCCTGCTTCAAATGTATCATCTGTACCTACTCCCCTCGCTGCTAACAATGTTCAATGAGTTAATGTGGAGCTACCTATGCTGCTATTGCAGTGGGTAGAAATCAAAATACTAACCAGCGCTCTAACGGAAATTTTGACAATTTTGACTTAGGAAGCATTACTGCCCCTAAAATGGAATTTTTACAGAATTCATTAATTGACATGATTTCTGATATGCTTAAATCTAACTCCATGTTTGATGCTATTCAAACTGGAGTAAAATTTGCTAATAATATTGTCATGACTTTAAAATTCAGTAATGGATTTTAAAGCATTAAACATTTTAAATTGGAATGCTCGATATCTTAAAGATAATGAAGATTAGCTATTTAACTTTTTGAGAGTTCATAACGTGCATATTGCCGTTATAACTGAAACGTTCCTTAAACCTGCCCATAAGGTTAAGAAGGACGCAAATTACTTGATTTATAGAAATGATCGTCTTGATGGACCCTGTGGTGGCGTTGCCATCATTGTTCATAGACGAATCAAACATAAATTTTTTTCTTCATTTGAAACCAAAGTTTTTGAAACTTTGGGAGTTTCTGTTGAAACAAAATTTGGACAACTTACGTTTAAAGCTGCCTATTTGCCATTCCAATGCGTAGGCCAGCAAAAGAATTTTCTCAAGGGTGACCTCCAGAAACTTACCCGTCATAGGTCTAAATTCTTCATTATTGGTGATTTTAATGCAAAACACCGCTCATGGAATAATGTTCAAAGCAATTCCAATGGTAATATTCTGTTTGATGATTGTTCTGCAGGTTATTACACTATTCAATATCCAAACAGCCCAACATGCTTTTCTTCTGCAAGAAATCTCTCCACTATTGATTTGGTCTTAACTGATTCATATCAACTTTGTAGCCAACTGGTTACCCATGCTGACTTCTGAAATATCCCAAGAAATAATTTGTAATCCCAACAGCTCTACTTTCAATTACCATAGAGCTGATTGGGAGCAATATCGAACATTTATGGAATATAACTACGATCCAAACATTCCTTTGCAAACCAAAGATGAAAATAATTATGCTCTTGAATCTCTGGCTACTTCTATAGTTGAAGCAAGAGCTGCCTCAGTATCAAAATGCGAGGTTAAATTCGATTCAATTATAATAGACGATGATCTTCAGCTCTTGATCCGTCTTAAAAATGTCCGTAGGAGACAATATCAAAGAACACGCGATCCTGCCATGAAAGTTATCTGGCGGGATTTGCAAAAACAAATTAAAAAA